CTCTTGTGAACTTGTTTTAATTTTCTTCAGCTTCAATCTGAACTTGCATCTGAACAACTGATAATTTGTTTCACAGTTGGCTCCTGGTCTTATTTTGGCTGATGATACTGAGTTTCTCCATCATCTCTTTCCATAGAAGTACTTGATTTGATTCCAGTGTATTCCATCTGGTGAGGTCCACGTTTATAGTTGCTGTTTATGTTATGCTTATGCTGAAAGTTACAAAAGTATTACTAAAAAATCATAGAAACCTTCATATCAAAATATGAAGCTAGTTTCTCAACATAGTCTCCATCTAGGTCTATACACTTCTGAAGGTGTGTATGTCTTTAACCCTTCCCTAAAGAATTCTGCACACTTTGTCAAAATGGCAGTTTTGCCATCCTGAGGGGCTCAAACCATGTTCCTTTTCAATGTTCTTTGAGTGTGGGTAACAAAAAAATTTTTGAAGGGGCAAGGTCAGGGTGACAGGGTAGTTGGAGTTAAGGATTCTCATCAAATTCTTGTAAAACAGCCTTTGCTACCCTCAAAGACTAAGCAAGTGCATTGCTATGATATAAAAACACTTCTTGGCACAACTTTTCTGATTGTTTCCTCACCAATGCAGTTTTCAATTTCCTTAAAATGTCTTTATTATAAGCCCCTGAGATAGTCCTGTGTCCTTTGAGAAAATCTATCAATACTCCTTTGGGATTTTGAAAAACAGTTGCTATAAACCTTCTGTACTTTCTTAATTATGCAAATACTCTTGACTGTGTGGATCATGACAAGCTACGGACAACATTGCAAAGAATGGGTAATCCAGAACACTTAATTGTGCTCATGAGGAATCTGTACATGGACCAAGAGGCAGTTGTTTGAACAGAACATGGGAACGCTGAATGGTTTAAAATTGAGAAAGGTGTGCAACAGGGTTGTATTCTTTCACCATACTTATACAATCTGTATATTGAGCAAATACTCTCAAAAGCTGGATTATACGAAGAAACGCATGACATCAGGATTGGAGAAATACTCATTAACAACTTGTGATATGCAGATGACACAACGTTGCTTGCTGGCAGTGATGAAGACTTAAAATACTTATTGATGATGACCAAAGACTATAGTCTTCAGTATGGAGTGCATCTCAACATAAAGAAAACAAAAATCCTCATAACTGGACTAATAACATCATGCTAAATGAAGATGAGGATGAAATAGAAGAATTCTACCAACTTCTTCAATCTGAAATTGATCAAACATGCAATCAAGATGTACTGATCATTACTGGTAATTGGAATGCAAAGGCTGGGAACAAAGAGGAAGGATCAGTAGTTGGAAAATATGGCCTTGGTGACAGAAATGATGCTGCAGAATGCATGATTGAATTCTGCAAAATCAATTATTTGTTCATTTCAAATACCTTCTTTAGACAGCATAAAAGATAATTATACACATGGGCCTCACCAGAAGGAATACACAGAAATCAAATTGACTACATCTGCAGAAAGAGACGATAGAAAAGCTCCATATCATCAGTCAAAACATGGCCAGGGCAAACTGTGGAACAGACCATCAATTGCCCAAATGCAAATTCAAACTGAAGCTGAAGAAAATGAAAACAAGACCATGAGAGCCAAAATATGACCTTGAATATATCCCACCTGAATTTAGAGATCATCTGAAGAACAGATTTGATACATTAAACACTAAAGACCGAAGACCAGAAGAGTTGTGGGATGTCATCAAGAATATCATACATGAAGAAAGCAAAAAGTCATTAAGAAGGCAAGAAAGAAGGAAAAGATCCAAATGGATGTCAAAAGAGACATTGAAACTTGCTTTCCAGCATAGAGATGCTAAAGCAAATGGAAGAAATGAGGAGGTCGAAGAGCTGAACAGAAAATTTCAAAGGTCAGCTCGAGAAGACAAAGTCAAACTACAATGAAATGTACAAAGATCTGGAATCAGAAAATCAAAAGGGAAGAACATGCTCAGCATTTCTCAAGCTGGGGGAACTGAAGAAAAAAATTCAAGCCTTGACTTTTGTTACTGAAGGATTCTCTGGGCAAATTATTGAATGATGCAGAAAGCATCAAGAGAAGATGGAAGGAATACACAAAGTCACTGTACCTAAGGAAATGGTTAATATTCAACTGTTTCAAGAGGTAGCCTATGATCAAGAGCCAATGATACTGAAGGAAGAAGTCCAAAGTGCATTGAAGGAATTGGCAAAGAACAAGGCACCAGGAATTGATGGACTAAAAATTGAAATCTTTCAAGAAAGTGAAGCAGCACAGGAGGCACTCACTCATCTCTGCCAAGAAATTTGGAAGACAAACAACTGGCCGACTGATTGGAAGAAATCCATATTTGTGCCCATTCCAAAGAGAGGTGACCCAATGGAATGTGGAAATTATCGGACAATATGTTTGATGTCCCATGCGGGTAAAGTTTTACTGAAGGTAATACAGAAATGGCTACAAGCATACATTGACAGAGAACTTCCAGAAGTTCAAGCCAAATTCAGAAGAGGACGTGGAACAAGGGATATCACTGCTGATATCCGATGGATCTTGGCTGAAAGCAGAGAATATCAGAAGATGTTTACCCATGCTTTATTGACTATGCAAAGGCTTTCAACTGTGTGAATCATGACAAGCTATGGACAACATTGCAAAGTATGAGTATTCTGGAACTGTGCTCACGAGGACCAAGAGGCAGTTGATTGAATAGAATACAGGAACACTAAATGGTTTAACATTAAGAAAGGTGTGTGACAAGATTGTATTCTTTCACCATACTTATTCAACCTGTATGCTGAGCAAATAATCAGAGAACCTGGGTTATATGAAGGAAAATGTGGCATCAGGATTGGAGGAAGACTCATTAACAACCTGCAATATGCAGATGATACAACCTTGCTTGCTGAAAGTGAAGACGACTTAAAATACTTATAGATGAAGATCAAAGAGCACAGCCTTCGGTATGGATTACATTGCAATGTAAAGAAAACAAAAATCCTCATCACTGGACCAATAAACAACATTCTTATCAATGGAGAAAAGGATGAAGTTGTCAAGGACTTCATTCTTCTTGGATCAACCATCAACACTCATGGAAGCAGCAGTCAAGAAATCAAATCAAATAAAATTGGGAAAATCTGCTGCACAAGACCTTTTTCATGTGTTGAAGAACAAAGATGTCAGCTTGAGGACTAAGGTGTGCCTGACCCAAGCCATGGTATTTTCAATAACTTCATATGGATGCGAAAGCTAGACAGTGAATAAGGAAGATCATAGAAGATTTGATGCTTTTGAGTTATGGTGTTGGAGGAGAATGTTAAAGGTGCCAAGGGCTGCCAAAAGAACCAACAGATCTATGTTGGAAGAAGTGCAGCCAGAGTGCTCCTTCGAGGCTGGGATGGCCAAACTTCATCTCTCATACTTTGGACATATTGTCAGGAGGGACCAGTTGTTGGAGAGGGATATCATGTTTGGTAAGGTGGAGGGTCACAGAAGGAGAGGAAGACCCCAGCAAGATGGATTGGCACAGTGGCAGCATCAATAGGCTCAAGTGTAGCAACAATAGTGAGGTTGGCCCAGGACCAGGCAGTGTTTTGTTCTGTTGTGCATAGGGTTGCTATGAGTCAGCACCGACTCCATGGCACCTAACAACAACAACAAATGAAGAAAAGACTGAATTTGTCAAAGACTTAATTTTGCTTGGATCTACAATTAACAGTCATGGAAGCAGTAGTCAAGAAATAAATGATGTAGTGCACTAGGCAAATCTGCTGCACAAGACATCTTTAAACTGTTAAAGAGTAAAGATACCAGTGTGAGGACTAAGGTTCATCTGATCCAAGCCATGGTATTTTCAGTTGTCTCAACAACTACAATATATAAATGTGAAAGTTGGATAATGACCAAGACTGTAGAAGAACTGATGCATTTGAGTTATGGTGTTGGAGAAGAACATTTTAAGTATCATGGACAAACAAATCTGTGTTGGAAGAAGTACAGACAGAGTGCTCCTTAGAAACCAGGATTGTGAGATTTCGTCTCTTGTGCTTTGGGACATGTTATCAGGAGGGACCAGTCCTTGGAGAAGGACATCGTGCTTGATAAAGTGGAAGGTCAGTGAAAAAGAAGACCCCCCAATGAGATGGATTGGCACGGTGGCAGCAGCAATGGGCTCAAGTGTAAAAATAATTATAAGGATGGCACAGGACAAGGCAGTGTTTTGTTCTGTTGTGTGTATGGTCGCTATGAGTTTGAACTGACTCAAGGACACCTAACAAGGACAATCAAGCTTTCTGATTTGAATTCCCTGCCCAGCAGACACCCTCAAAAGCCATTGTTTTGATTGGAATTTTTTTTTGAAGCAACCTAACAGAACTGAGGCAAACGTATTGCTGACAGAACTTGTCTGCAGCCATCACTGATAACACTGATAACATGTTTTGTCTGAAAGAAACCTGTGCGTGTATGAACTGGAACTGGAATAGCAGTACTTTAACTTACTCTCGTATGTATGAATGTATGGGGGACTTGAAAAGGTTCTTGGAAACATGCAATTAAGAGACACTAGAATTTTCACATGAACTTTTGGAGGCTTCCTTATATATGTGTACCAAACACTAGAAGGCAATATACTACAGTCACTGGCTTATACATAATTTTCTACAATAAGAAAATAAAATTATTTTCAATACAGAAGAATACAGGGACAGGGAGAGATGACCATAAAGGAGCAGGGAAGTTTTCAGGTGGAACTGTTCCAATGCTTATTTGTGGCACTAATTATATGACTTTATTATTTCTCAAACTTCAAACACTGTCCACTATAAAAGGGGATGTTTACTGTGTATAACTGATACCTGTCAAAAAGAACAAACTGAAAGTCACCTCCGGGAACCTTGCCAGCTCTGGTTCTGGAGAGGCCACTGCTATTTGGCACTGTTTCCCCTAAATGGGACACCCAGGGATGTCCCACTCAGTAAACCCATCACTTACATCAACTCTCCGGCCTTCAGCAAGCAGATTTCAGAGTCCTGACCCACAGGCATGTCTTCATTGTCCTCTGGAGTTAATGAGCTTGGTGTGTTGTCTCTAAAAAGACAAACAAGGACACAACCGTTCAGCTTTCAAAACACAAAAGGTCCCACATTCTGAGTTCCAAAGCTTCAAGGTCTTGTAACCGACTAAGATGGCTTGAGAAATCCTTCTACCACAGAGGCTGGGGCAGAGGCTGTGGGAAACTCTGAGGGTGGAGGGTCACAAAGGCCAGGGGCAAGAACGTGGGACTACAGGTCTTCCTAGGAGGTGGGTGGTAACCATAAACACTAACTAACGCCTCTCCTATCCCATGCCAGAAGAGTGACAGCTTCAGGGCCCAGCTCCCAGCACCACTGACTCCTGCCTTCTCAGCTCTAGTCCTCAACTGGAGAAGCCTCCTCTGGCCGATCTCTGGGCACAAGAGCAGGTGTCTGGAGCTGATGGGGCAGAAAACAGTGTGGACCAAGAGAAAAGGGATGGGGTGTCATCCCTGGCTGTCAGCCACTCGGCCATGGTACCAAAGCTCTACTAAGCTGCCACTCCCCAAGCCCAGGGTGAAAGAACAAAAAACACAAGAAGTAGAATGCTTGATGGAAGAAAAGAAAAAGAAGGAAGGTGCTCATAAAAAGGTTGCTGATCAAAACACCAAAGGTATTTGCAGGACTTCTGACAAGATGGTGGACTGGGCAGATACACTGTATGGACCCTCTACAACAAAGATACGAGAGCCAGCCTGCCAGCCTCTCTGTGAGAGACAGATGAGGCTTTCTGTTTCCACAAAGATTTAAAAGCCATGGTCCAGGTGAGCTGTGGTCCTGGGTGAACTATGGTCCCAGGTGAGCTATGGTCTTGGGTGATGCCCCAACATCCAAGCAAAAGAATAATTACGGAAGCATATTCAAAACTTCATGCCTCAGGATAGAGACTCATCCCAGTGAGGGTTTGGGATGGGAAGTAGGTTTGGTGCGTGCCACTATTACTTTGAAACTGTGAATTGTGTAATTGTTCAAACAAACAAACAAACAAACAAACAGAGAAACAATCTATGATGGTTATGAAGGGGAGGAGTGGGAAGGACGGGAGACTTATTCATGGACTCAAGGGGAGACACATGTTGATACAGGTGACAGGGCAGACAAAATACAACAAGAGGGTAGCAGAGGAAAGATGAAGGTAGCAGAAGACACAGGGAGGAATACACTAGTTAAGTGAATAGAGATAAATGCTGTTAACTCTTGGTACATGGAGGAGACTGAAAACACATAATGAAGCAAAGTATATGATTTGTTCAATATGATTTGTTCAAACTGATGATTTGCTCTGTAAGCCTTCACTCAATTCACAATAAAAAGTTAAAAAGAGAGAGAGAGAGTGAGAAGGGGTAGATAGAACCATGTACAGAGAGGTGGATTTAAGACACACCTTGTCTCACAGCCCACCTCTCCACTGTGAGCTAGCCTGGGCAGCTTCCACGGTAGTGTACTGAACTACGGCTCCCAACATACACTCTGTGGAATGTCAGAGCCAGGAGAGGGGAGCAGCACAGACTGTGTCTCCCTCATAAAGTCACAGTATACCTGCGCATTAAATTCAAGATTCAGAGAAGCCTCTTGCACACGTTGTTTGCCTCTAGTACTCCTGTATTTATTAGGACATGGAGCGTTTTTAACATCTACAGAACTAGTGATTCTCACAACACCCTCCAGGAAACGTTAGGGAAATGTTGATCTAGGGAATTAGGGAGAGACAGGGATGGGTCAGAATCAGATACCCTGACTCCTGTGGGGGGTGTCCCACACCAAGCTAGGTCAGTGGCCTAGGAAGCTTTGGAACCTCAGAGGCCAACCAAATCCACCCCCTGATTCTGCTGAAGAAAAACCTATGCCCAGAACAGAAAAAGGACTCACCCCATATGAGGTGTTAATGAGGAAGGAAAGTCTCCTACGCAGGAAGGCTTCTTCCCAAAATGTTATTAATAACCCTCTTCTCAGCAGCCCTAAAGGGATCTCCCCGAATGCATCTGTGCCTCCACCCACCCTGAGGACCCTTAGAACTTGCTGGGAACTCAGTCCGGCCCTGCTCCTGCCTCGTCTGCTGGTGAGTGTTTCCTAATAAACCAGCCCCTACTGCACTGGGTTAGGCACTGAATGGATCACAATCCACGGGCATGAACACTCTCCATTCCCACTTGGTCAGGTCTCAGAAGATATACCTGGGGCACCCAACATTCCACAGGGATGCCAGAAGGTGAGGCTCAGAGTGGCCAAATTCAGGGAATCCTGCTTAAGTGTGTGCTGGGCTGTTACTCAACTGTTGTGGCAGGGCCATCTGTGCCCCACATGGTGCATCCACAGCACACCACGAGGTCCAGGGGGAGCAACAGGTGGCATTACACCAGGACCTCACACACAGTGGTATCTGTAACAACTCCCACCTTAAGTTCCCCCACCCCCTCATCCCTACTCCCTACCACCTACTTCATCGATGCATACACACATATACACTTTAGGTGATCATGTAAAATATAATTCTTACTAAGGAGTTCAGTTTTTAAAAATTGAATGTTTAAGACTGACAGAAAACAAAATCAAGGCCACTAGAGGGCATCCTATCTCTTACTATGTTGTTAAATGCCCTTGAGTTGGTTTGGGATCATAGTGACTAAGGAGTGGCTCGTGGGTTGGAACTGCCAACCTTGTGGTTAGCAGGCCAGAACTTATCCTACAGTGCCATACCAGGACTCCATCTCCTACTATAAATATACAGAAACTCTAAAAACCAAAACCCAAAAAAATCACTTGCCACTGAGTGGATTGGGACTCATGGAGACCCTACGTGTATCCGAGAAGAACTGTGCTCCACAGGGTTTTCAATGGCAGTTTTCGGGGCTAGATTGCCTGGTCTTCTGAGATACCGCTGAACAAACCTGAACCTGCAACCTTTCCATATGTAGCCATACATGTTGACCAGTTCCATTACCAAGGGACTCTACCACCTTCTAGAGTCATTCTCTTGGTTGTTACTGAGACACTTTTCTCAGACAAGATGTTAGACAAACTCATAGTCTACAAATGACCTTTGTCTTCCCCTAGTTTTAGATGCAAGCCTACTGCTAGCTGTGATGACCTCAGAGTGCATGGCATGCTGCCTTTTCTGGCTCAATTTCCATCTCTGAGTCTGCAGTCAGTCAAGCTAAAGCTCTCTTGAGGCAGCACACTTGTCTGTCAACTTGCTCATCCCTCTAGTGTGGTCATGCTCAGGTACCTGTCACACACACAGCTTACGCTCAATGAATGTCTAGATTATCCACCTCGGGGTAGGGTTTTTTGTTCCAAATGCCCCCAGAGGCAAACGTAACCAAAGCTCCACTTTAGAACTGAGTAAGAAGAGAGTGGCACTCACAAATAAGGCGGACACTGAGTAAGTCCCTGGCAAAGCAGTCTAGAGGTCCATGCCTGTCTGTCCGAGGGACCATCCAGCTGGAATCTACAATACTCTCCTCTCATCAATCACTTAATTACTGTATAACTTTGGCCCTGCAGACTGCGTCTGGTTGCTCACAGTTCCTGACTGAGGAGGGGATGGATACCGATGCCCAGAAAGGCCCGTTGGCTGAAAATGTCTTGCTCAGGAGCTGCCTCTACTCCTGTCTCACTAAGCAAACCTCAGTGGTGTACTTTGTGGTCTGATTACGCATGTCCTCCAGTCCTTCTGTCCGGGAGTGTCTTCGGACCACACTAATATCGTAGTCACTAGTCACATGTGGGCATTTGAATTTAAATGAGGCACAATTCAGTAACACCAACAGTTTGGCTCCTTGGGCGCATAGCCACACTTCCAGTGCTCAGTAACACCTGTGGCTGGAGCAGCTTCGCTGGACAGGAGCCGGCCAGGGCCAGGCCATGCCCATCATCATGAAAGCGCTGCTGAACAGTGTGGTGTCGAGGGATGAACCATGCTGTGGACCATGCTCACAATGGGATTTGGCGGCACATTTTATTTTGCCATTACACAGTAGATTCATAGTGGCCTTCCTCTTAATAAATCATTTTCCTTTTTGCCCAAAAACCAAATGAAGATGAGAATTCCTGACATACTGATTTCAGATTCCTCGGTAACTATGGTCTGACCAGAGTCCCTACGTGGCACAAATAGTGAAGCGCTTGACAGCAGAAGGCATGTCACATTTTAGACCTGGTTATCCGCTTCTGTGAGACCACAGCCTCGACAACCCTGTGGAGTTCTACCCTGCACACACAGTGAAACCTGATTTGCCAGCAAGAGACAACAAGAAGTGAAATCACAAGACAGGAACTTGCACACCTCTCCTCATGACCAACACCTAGGCCACCACAGAGCAAGGCTCGTCTGACTTGCTTGTTATTTGGTTAGGGTTCTTTCAGTGACTAAATCATCTTTCACTAGAACACCAAGCCCTAGATGAACGAATCTGCGACAGGGATGTCTGTACCTTCCCTTCTGCTCCTTCTCCAGTTCTACTTAGAAAATGTTCCAGGAGAAATTCAAGAGACATGTATCAAGAGACACACACCCTTAAGAAGTTTAGAGTTTTGTTTTAAAGAAAAACAATAGCCATGAAGTAACTAGTACTACCAATAGATAGCTAATAAAGGAGCTTTGTAAAGTGGTTGGAGTAAAATCCTGGTTCAAGAATTGTGAGTGGCTCAGTTTCTCAAATGTAGTTGCACGTCCTCAGTAGCACAGCGAACTTTCTGTTGGAGGGCGGTGATGAGGCATGTGGTAGTGGTCAGGTACACACATTCTCACATGGACACACACATACTGACACACACGGCTGCTCCAGGGCAGGGGCCTCCATCTCCCTCCATGGAGTACGAGCGATTGGCTAAGAGGGAAGAGTATGACCCAACGTATTCAGCAAAGGCACCTCAGACCATTCTAATTTTGCCCTGTGAACTGTCCCTAATGACATGCTTAGCTTGCCCCTGAGAAAAAACTCATTTCTCAAGGCTTAAAGATTCAAAAATGTCAGGCTGCCTCACTCTAAAGGGTTGTCCTGCTCCCAAATCTCT